GAGCAACCCTGTGGTAAGTAAATTGTTATTTGTATATTAATTACTTATTAATTACATACGTGCAATTTAAATTGAGCAATTAATGGCATAATTTGTTTTTTTATTTATATGATTTAAACAAGAGAAAATTAGTGAAAAAGATTTTTATATGATAGCTATAATCATGTAAAAGTTTCTACTTTTAGATGATAGCTTTTATATGAAATTATTAGAGTTATTAGTAGAGTTCCTTTTCAAAATTTATAAAATTATTTTATTATAATCTCCTATAAAAATTTCTATGTGAAAAAAAGTCTTCTTATAATTTATAAAATTGTTCCATATTTATATAGAGTTTTTTACAATTAGCGTTGTACGCATCGAATATAAAATATTTCGCATGAAATATTAGTTATATTGTGGACGCTGTTATAATTTGAATTTTATATTTGTATGTTACAGACAACGTAGCCTCAAGACCAACAACTCCGCTGTTGCGCATCAGTGCCGGTGAGTAATGAACTTTATTTTCTTTTGAGGTAACGGATTCCTAGATATTGTAGATATAAATGTAGATTATAGATTATAAATCCGTTGCCTCAAAATGGATGGGCTAGAATAGATTAAATTATATATCATAATAGATTTTCAATAGATTTTTTTAATATGCATTAAAACATATTAAAGTATAAATTAAAGCAAAAATTTGAAAAAGATGTAAAATATTTTTTTTTAATTGATAAATTTTATTTAATTTGTTTAATGAAGAAGACGCTAGAGTAAATTTATTAATTATATGAAATAGTAATAACTTATTCTTATATTGCGCCGATTTTATCCTAAGTTTTTATAGCCCATTCATCTATATTATTATATCAATTAAAACTTTAGTTTCTATATTATTTTTTTTTTAAATATTTATAAATTTAAGAGCTTTGTATTTTTATACATTTAAACAATTATTGATAAATTCGGAAAATTATATTTCAAAATTTATAAATACCACGAATATCGCTAATTTTTCTAATATTTAATAGAAAAATGATTGAATAAAAGTGTGAAGACTCGATGTTAGGCTAACGATTAAGTATTTAGCTTTTCGTTCACGAAAGACAACTGCCTCCGACATTGCAGAATCGCGAATAAATTATTTCGAATGTCATGATTTAATTTTGATTTGATTGATATTTATGAATTTCATGTTGGAATTAAATATTTGTTAAATTAATTAATTAGCTCCATTGCGAAAACACCGCGTTCTTTCCACGTTCTTGGACGCGATTGCTGTCTTAGCTAAGGGGCCTTATCGCTGTCCCTCTCGTCAGATAAACGTTAGTAAAGTTGCGTGGTTCGTACAGGCAAGGAGTCGAAACAATCTTCATCATGGAGAATTATTTCTTATCGGTTCTTGTAAGATCTATCCGCGACGTCTAGTTCGGTGCTCTGTTGAAAATTGAGGATGTTCGTTGTAGGATTGGAATTAAACCCAGGTTTTCCTGGCGATCTCTGAAAGCAATGATTTCGGTAGTAACTCAACTACTACTGCCACACGCCTTTTCGAAGTCAACTCAGGAAATTAATTTAAATAATATATTTGAAGGAAAGATATATTTCTTTTTCTTTGTTAAAAGTGTTTTTTTCTCATTATTAATATTAGTATTAATTTTATGTTAATACTGAAAAGTAGATTGAACATGAATAACTAGTATGTATAGAAATAAATTTCCATTTTTCAAATAATTTCAAATTGCAATCAAATTGCCCGTTTCTATTGACTTTTTTTGATGCAAAAATTATGGTTACGAACGTATGTATTTTATTGATTAATTTTTAATTAATATAATTTTTGGTTTTTTTTTTAGAAGATATTTCTAGGCACTGAGGATATTAACATTAAGTTTCAGTTTCTTTTAAAAAATTATTTGCAGGTATTGGACATCCCGCCATTTCTGAAGAGTCCTGGATAATTTTTAGATATACTATTCTATAGATATAATAAAATACATGCGCAAATTAACATACTATTTCAAAAAATTACTGCAAAATTATTGTATGTAAAGTATTAATTTTTCCAAAGAAATAGTATTGTATTCCATATAATATTATTTTATTTTTCATTTTTTTATTTGGTATTTCAAAAAATAAAATTGAATATACATATTAAAAATATAAAAATGTATACATTAAAATAAAACCTTAAAATATGTTAAACAAGTTTAAAATAATATTAAATTTCTCAGAAATATTTTCTTTGCTATTTTTGAGAATTTAGCTATACATGATACCATTGATGAGAAAGACTCTACATGTGTTATCTTATTTGCTAAAATTTACAATGAAGAAAGAAAAAATAAATTTATTTATTATTGATAATGAAATAATTAACATTATTTAATTTAGTTGCTATTGAGTGATATGATTCATTTACTATAATTTGATGTATTTAGATTATGTGGATATAGATGTTAAGTATAGTATCAGCATCAATGTTAATGTTAGATATTATCTCATTTATTATAAATCGCTTTTTTATACATTTTTTTATTGAGTTTGCTCTAGTATAATATATAAGTTGATAATTATATATTATATACATTTTATATAATTTTTCGTGTATTATATTTTCTATTTGAAAAATTTGTAAAACCTATTTATTAAAAAAAACGTATATATTACAAAAAAATAAAAATAAAAATTTTTCCTCCTCGATGGTATCTCCACCTTAACGAAGGCATTTGCCGGGTGAGGAGGTTTGAGTGCTCTAATGAACCTGAGAGCTATACCGGCGGTAATGTATAGTGTTTTCGAGTGAAGCAAGTTTGATCGTTCTGAGACCGATTAATGACGTCATATACTTTGTCTTAGGTTATTAGGGGTACTTAAATTATTATACAGATTAATCAATGGAATACTTTGAGTAATCGTTTGATTAATTAGGACAAAGAATCTTGTACTTTAAAGACAAAAGAGCGTTAAAAACGGGGAATGTATTATGCAAATAAAACCAAATGCAAGAGATAACACTTTGATGATGAAACTTGCGGTACATTTTGAAGTTATAAATGTTGTAAGCTGTAATAAAGTAATTTTTTCTAGTAAAATTAAAAATTTGTCTTTATTACCATAAAGTATAATAGTTCTATTTCATTTCATTTCCATTTCATTTTTAATATAATATGTAATACATAATTATATAGTTATAATATATTTTTTGTTTTCTTTGTGTGTGGAATAATACACAGTTATTTTATATATACTATAACATACAGTTATTTTTTATATATAAACATTTTATAACATTTTATAGAAAAAGCAAAAATATAATAATGTATGTATATATTTTTAAAAGCATATTGTGTGTAAACGACAGCATATAAAGAATATAGCGTATGACATATATAAAGTGTATGACACACATTTATATGTGTCACACTTAGCCAGTCACTTTTAATCGATTTTTTCTTAGCAAAAAGGTCGGGAGAAAGATAATCTTTTACTGTAAGCTACAATTTTCAAATATTTACATATAAATATGTACAAATATTTATAATAAATTTCAAATAATCGCGGACTAGTAAGAGCCAGAACGCGGATGGTAGCGCGTCATACTTATTTTTCATAGAAATGTATTTATATTATTTATATTAATCAGATTTTCTTAAAATCTATTTTTTGTCAAACATATATTCATGAATTAAGTTTAATCGCTCTCAAAGCAATCAAACTTGTTTCATTTGAAAACGCTAATAATTACCGGTAGGGTCATTCATGCCGGACAGGTCGAAGGGGAGGAATTAGACTAAGAGAGATACCGAAATTATTAAATATTTATTATATTAACATTTTTGAATAAAATGGAAGCAAAAAAAAACAGTAGTCGAGAGAATAGAGAAAAAGGAGTTTCAAAATATTTTCATAATTTGATCTATTCAGATTATGTGGATATAGATGTTAAGTATAGCACTAGCATCAATGTTAATGTTACATATTATCTAATTTATTATAAATCGCTTTTTCTATCGATTTTTTTATTAAGTTTGCTCTAGTTTATTATCTAAGTTGATATATTTTGTTGTCATTGTCGTACAGAATACATGACTGTAAAATAGGATAGAGATGCATTTGCTAGCTGTAATGAAAAATAATTGAATTATTGCTTTTGTTTGGTTTCTTTCAAATTTGTAATACATTTAATATATTATAATATATAAAATTTTACCGTGGCAAAACATTGTATGGATGCTATAAATAATCCACCAATATTCAAACCAAAAGTCTTGTTGCCTCTTTGTATCAGAATCAGTAACAGCTTTTGTATGTTTAGCGACATTAAAAAGAAATTAAAAAAAAAAAAATTTTTATTGTTATAATTTTTTTAAATGTAATATCTTTGCTATTAATTAAGATGGATCTAATTGTAAGTCAGTTACAATATATATGAATAAAAATAGAAAAATAGATAGCTTTTCTCTACATTATTATCACTATTTTACAATTTTTAAAGCGCATTAAACGTTTTGAAATATTTAAAAAATTTTTTATACTACAATTTAAACTATTAAACAGAGGATTCATATTTGGAAGAAAGATAGTTCTGATTTCAAAAATTATGTTACTATGAAAAAGTAGATTACAAACTAATTTACAAATCTTAATATCATATAAATTAATAATAACCATTAAAAATAGTTATTAAAAATAGTATTGATGAATACATTCTTTTTGTTTTGTGATGATTTTATTTATACTATATGTATATATATGTGTGACTAGGATTATAATATATTTAAAAACACAAAAATTGTTAGCATTGAAAGTGCGATTACAAGTATATTAATACTAGTCAATGTTAAGAAACAATGTTATGTATTTAGTAAATGTATTTATAATTGAAAAACAAAACTTACTCGAAATATATTCAGGCTTAAAGTCATCACTCCGAATATTATTAAAAAGAAGAATGATATCTCAAATTTAGATATTAGATATATGCACAACCTTTAAATACAATAAAATATTATTGCGCATATTTTTCACCTCTATTATAAAATAGATACTAACTCCATGGCTTTTCGATGAATATCTACGGCACTTTTTATGCGATTATGAGCCAAATTTTTGTTCTGCACGATAATATCTTGCGATATTTGAATCTTTATTGCGTTCTGGATACGATAACTGTAAATAATTTATTATTGACGTATATAATGATATGGTTTAAATAATACTCTTGTAGTGTTGAACAATTTTGACGAATTAGTACTAGAATAATAGTCAAGCACGGTTCAATAAAAACACATAGCATATTCATAATATATTACACAAATACAAAACTAAGAAACTTAAATAACATAAAAGTAAAAATAAAATATCATTTTTTTCTCTCTCTTATCGTATAGTCTGATCGTACTATTACTTAAAGTTTCTTCTTTAAAACAGATCTTAAAATAAATTGTCTAAAAATTTTTATACTATAACATTGAATGGACAAAGTAGGTAAAAGTCGTATTTTCTAATGGACAAATTATTTAAACTTTGTATATATTTTTAACACATAGTCTTGCGGAATAAATTTTTGAATTCGTATTAAACGAAAGAACAGAGCTTTTCTTAATTCAATTTTTTTATTATTTTTATGTTTGTTGTTTTACCTAGCAATTGTAAACATAGCGCACATATATTGGAAATATGCGATGAGCATTGTTCCTGTTGCTACCGCTGAAGTAAGCCCTATACAAGCAGCTGCATTTATATGTAGTAGCAAATAATAGAAATATCTTTCTTGATCAACAAAATATTCAGTCAAAACCTGCAATTGACGTGGTCGAGATGTGTTTGTGGATAAAATAATTTGCAAGATATCCGGCCATATTAGGGCGCTCATGGGAACAAATATACTGCAAACAAAAAGTACTACAATATTAATTAATTAGTAAGTACTTTTGATTCCTATATCTTTAAAACATTTAAATTTACTTAAAATATGTTAAACAAGTTTAAAATAATATTAAATTTCTCAGAAATATTTTCTTTGCTATTTTTGAGAATTTAGCTATACATGATACCATTGATGAGAAAGACTCTACATGTGTTATCTTATTTGCTAAAATTTACAATGAAGAAAGAAAAAATAAATTTATTTATTATTGATAATGAAATAATTAACATTATTTAATTTAGTTGCTATTGAGTGATATGATTCATTTACTATAATTTGATGTATTTAGATTATGTGGATATAGATGTTAAGTATAGTATCAGCATCAATGTTAATGTTAGATATTATCTCATTTATTATAAATCGCTTCTTTATACATTTTTTTTATTAAGTTTGCTCTAGTTTATTATCTAACAATAAGTTGATATATTTTGTTGTCATTGTCGTACAGAATACATGACTGTAAAATAGGATAGAGATGCATTTGCTAGCTGTAATGAGAAATGATTGAATTATTGCTTTTGTTTGGTTTCTTTTAAATTTGTAATACATTTAATATATTATAACATATAAAATTTTACCGTGGCAAAACACTGCATGGATGCTATAAATAATCCACCAATATTCAGACCAAAAGTCTTATCGCCTCTTTGTATCAGAATCAGTAACAGCTTTTGTATGTTTAGCGGAGCTATATACCATCGAATTTTATATCTATACATAACATATACATAACATTAATACATGATAAAAAATTGATAAATCGAAAAAAATAAGAACTTTGAATATTTTTCAGCATATGTATATATATGTATATATATTTGCTATATGTATTCCACAAATTTTCATTTTCGTTATTAAAGTTCATAAAACGATATGACCAATATAAATTACGATATTTCTTACGCAGCAACATATATATAATTATAATGATCTGTAATTTTTTGTCCAACAAAGTTTGCTACGAACATGTATAAAAGACTAATAAATCCAACTATAATGGATATTGAGAGTTCGCCAGCATTACGTGTTGATGATCCAATCTGAAAGATCTAATATACAATTAAAGTATTGAGATCAATTTTTAAAGCCCAAGATTTTCAATTTACACAACAAAGTTTGATATAAAGAACGATGGGTAAAATAACCTGATTCTGGTAGTGGCGATGGAACCTTTCTTATGTATGTTTTCTTATATTTTTTTATATGCTCAATTATTATCAAACGTTTATTTCAATATGATATAATAGAAATGTAGCGAAAATCGCATTCAAAGTAGCAGATTTGTAGAAATCTGAACTCAAGAATATGAATATATCATATTTTCTTACCTTTTCTTTCTCTTTCTATTACCTCCTACTTCACCCCTCTCTATTCTTATTTAATCTAACATCACCCATTTTAACATAAAAACCCGTTAATAAACGTTTGATAATGATTTACATCAGAAATGTAAGAAAACATGCATAAGAAAGATTTCATCACCACGGTCAAAATCAGGTTTTACCCATCGTCCTTCGTTATCACAAATTTACTTTCAAACTGCAAGTATATTTATTAATAAAAGTTCTTGTTTGAAATCCGCAAGTTTTCAAGATATCATTATATAATTAAAAGATATAATTATATCACATTATAATGTCTCATTTCTATACATTTCATAGTGTCGCATTTCTATACATCATTACATCGTAATTAGAGACTCTTTGATCAATTTGATGTCAATCTTTGAATAAATATGTATACTAACTTTGTTTTGAACTATAAGTTTTTAGATCATCTATAATTTGCGAAAAATTTTGAGACACAATCCTATTTATAATTTTATCATATAATATGGAAACATTTATAAAAAATGTAAAATACATACATATATATAAAATATGTATCAGGATACATACATGTACGTGTGTTAAAATACGCGGTACATAAAAAATTTTTGTCTTAAATCTTATATTGTATTGTAATTATAAATCGTTTAAAGTATGCTTTGTAAGAAATAAAATTTAATAAAAATGGTTATTAAGGATAATATTGATGAATAAATTCTTTTTTTGTTTTATGGCGTATTTATATGTATCTGTGACTAGCACTATGATATATTTAAAAAACACAAAAGTTGTTAGCATTGCGAAAGTGCGATTACAAGTAATATTAATGCCAGTCAATATTAAGAAGAAATGTTATATAACTTAACTATATTTATAATCGAAAAACAATACTTACTCGAAAAATATTCAGGCTTAAAGTCATCACTCCGAATATTATTAAAAAGAAGACTGATATCTCAAATTTAGATATTAGATATCTGCAGAACCTTTAAATACAATAAAATATTATTACGCATATTTTTCATATGTCTTATAAAATAGATACTAACTCCATGGCTTTTCGATGAATATCTACGAGAGACATCATAGTAACTAGACCTAGTGTAGGCCAAGAGATAGCGTAGTCAGTACATCCAGAAAAAAAATCAGTTCCCGAATTTTTTGAATGCATTGTGTGTATACATATATATATAACAGTGTATTTTATATATACTATTTATAAAATATACAGTTATTTTATATACATATACTATATACATGAAAAATTCAATTGTATTTTATATATGTTTTCCAAGAAAAAAAGTGAAAATATAATAATGTATATATTTATAAAAGCATATTATAAATGACAGTATATAAAGTGTGTAGCATACATATCATATGTTTGTGACACATATAAGGTGTATAACACACATAGCGAGTCACCTTTCAATCGATTCTTTCTTAGCAAAAGGGTCGGGAAATGAAAATAATCGCTTACCGTAAGCTACAATGTTCAAATATTTATGCACAAACATATACAAATATTTATAATAAATATTTCTGAATTTCATTTATATTCATATATTTGTTATATAGCAAAAAAAAAACTTATTTAAAAAGAGAAATGAGAAATGCACATATGATTTTACTATTACTTGTACTTTTCTTAAAGTTATTCCAAAAAATATAATATTCAATTGTTTATTACCGAATTTTTATTAAAAAAGCATTGACTGGTATTTGGTTAAAAAACACACAAATATAAAATAGTTTAATAAATATTTTAAAATGTTATATTTTTTATTTGTGTTTGTGTTTGTGTTTGTGTGTGTGTGTGTGGGGGGGGGGGCGCACGCGCATGCGTATGGGTGTATACCTGAAATATAATAAAGATTATCAGGATAGTGAAAAAGCAAATAAACTGAAGTCGAGTAAGTTTTGATTTTTGATAAGGCCACAGACCAACTACTAGCATAAGAGTACGGCTGAGACTAAAATACCGATCTTCGACACTTATCATCTCTGTGCTAGTATCAACACGTGTTTGACAGTATTTTTGTCGATAAAGCTTGAGTTATTCTACGTAAAAATTATAGTCATTTAAATATTCGCTCTAAGTTCTCTTTTTTAGCATAAAGAGAAAACAAATTTAAAGAGAAAACATTCTCTATAACTTAACTATTGTAATTCAGCTGGAATTGTGTCCATTAAACACATAAGATAAAATACTATGAGATCAGAAAATATATTCGCACAATTTAACACTGTTTCGCCAAGATGCAGTCGCCTATTAAGTGATCGATTTAATGCGGCAAAAATTAGACAGATGTTTTATTTCTCATGGAGTAATATCTGCGGGAAAAGTCCTGGGGTGCAAAAGCTGCGCAAGCGTAGTCGTCGTTTCTCGGCGACACATATCCGTGTGCTTCAGTCCACAATGTGACACTGGCAAGTTACAGTTCAACTTTCGTGGTAAATATATGTTTTACAATTGTCACTACTGCAAAATTATTGTATGTAAAGTATTATTTTTTTCAAAGAAATAGCATTGTATTTTAGATAATATTTTTTTATTTTTTAGTATTTGTTTATTTAGTATTTCAAAAAAGAAAATTGAATATACATATTAAAAATATAAAAATGTATACATTAAAATAAAACATTAAAATATGTTAAACAAGCTTAAAATAATATTATATTTCTCAGAAATATTTTCTTTGCTATTCTTGAGAATTTAGCTATACATGATACCATTGATGAGAAACACCCTACATGTATAATCTTATTTGCTAAAATTCACAATGTGGAAATTAAAAATGTTTATTTATGATTGAATAAAATAATTAATATTTTTTAATTTAGTTGCTATTTAGTGATATGATTTATTAACCATAATTTGATGTATTTAGATTATGTAGATATAGATATTAAGTATAGCATCAACATCAATGTTAATGTTAGATATTATCTCATTTATTATAAATCGTTTTTTTATACATTTTTTTTATTAAATTTGCTCCAGTATAATACATAAGTTGATATATTTTGTTTTCATTGCCGTACAGAATACATGACTGTAAAATAGGATAGAAAGAGATTTTACTTCAGTAATAATTCTTTTAAATTTAATATTTTTGCTATTAATTATGATGGATCTCTAAAATCTGTGTGTGTATTTGTATATATTATAATTTAAAAAACTCATTTACAGGCTTGTAATAAGCATATTTTTAAGTCAATATATGTGCGATATATATGAATCAAAATCAAAATGTAGATAGCCTTTCACTACAATCACTATTCTAAAATTTGTAAGACGTGCATTAAACGTTTATAAATATTTAAAAAATTATTTATATTACAATTTAAACATTTAAACTATTAAACAAGAGATTCACATTTTTTTTACAAATCCTCACATGCAAAATAATCAAATTTATGTGGATTATTCTTGAACAAAATTTTAATTAAAAATATTTAATCTTACGAGAATATTTCTAAGATCAATTTTTGAAACATTTGTAAGATATTATAAGATCGAAATATTTTTTAAAAATTTGGGAGAATGATTGATTTAATCAAAAATTAT